AAGATAAAATATTCACTTCGTCATAAAAGGAATATTATTACAGGGAGAGAGAGCAAAGAAAGGTCAGATCAGAAGGATAAGGTATCCTCGAGAAAACAAAAAATTGAAAGAAAATAGTAACCCAATGCTGGTGCAAAAATGTAGATGGAGGTGTCCCTTGAGAAAACTGTGCTCATCACAAGCAAAAGGAAAAATTAAGAATAATTCAATTGTTGCTTGCAAATTGTGGCATTACACTCCAACCATAAGACCCATGCAAAAAGTAGGCCCGCTCCACAAGACATGTACTCCTTATTGCTCCCAAACACTCCAAACCACCTCACGAAAAATCAACAAGAATTTTACTTTAAGATCTGAAAGCATATCAAATGGATGCCAAGTTACAAAGCTCCATGAGGCCTAGACATTAAGCAAACTGTTGGTGTTAATATTATTTAGGACCTGGTCCAAACTAAAACTCTAACCCAGAGAGAACTTCACCTTTTGAAAAGAGGGAGAGAAGCACATATCAAAACTAATCAGCAATAATAAAAGCCATTAGGATGATGGGTAAGAAACTCGAACAAGAATTTGCAAGGATAAACACATGAGGAAACAAAGCTCCACACTGAAATCACAACTAGAGGCAGGACAAGAACACTCAAGATGATAAAGCAAAGGGGAGACATATGACATTTTTCAATAATGAGAGAGATAATCCATAGAGACGAGGAAAATAATAGGCAAAACAAGACTCCCGAACAATGATCCTTCGAAAAAGGAAAATGGAAATCATAATCTCCTCTCAACAAAAGCAAAGGACTTAAGAAGGCGAATGCCCCAGCAACTGATTTCCACACTCCTGTGAGTTGTGGCCGACCTAACTTCCGTACCCCATCTACTTCGACAAACCCCAGACTTGGTCTTCACCAGCTTGTACAACAAAAGAATGAAGTTCTAGATATAAAAACCATAAACTAGGAACAAAAGAAAGGTTCTCTGGAAAATGTTTGGCTTAACTTAAATCTTCGTCAATGGGAGGTTATAATTTTTGTAACAGCATTCTGAATTTTTTAATGTGTCTGAAAACCGACAAAGGGCTTTCATTTTAAAATAAGAAAAGAAGCTTTAATAAGAATAGAGAATGAACGAACACAAAATTGGAGAATCAGCATCCTCCACACAAAAAGAAATAAGAAAAAACACATAAAGGAGCTTGTTTACTACACAAGACTAAATTCCAGAACAAAACATCCCAATTTGATGGAGGTCAGAAAAGCTTGTTGTGGTTCCCATGTGACTTAGTCCATAAAGTGGCCAGAAAAGTAATTCCACCCCACAGTGCAGATGTCAAAGTACACCGGTCATCAAAGATAAAATGAAAAACCAACCAAGACTCGTACAACTTATAATCCCTTCAAGCATCATTTTGAGAAAGCCGCTCCCAATTTTCCTTTTACCAGGGTTATAAGCTCTCTACAAACATTCTTATTGACCAAGTAAAAGACTTAATTACCCTTATCGATTCCAAATATTCTACCTTATATCCCTTCACAAATTCACTATTGCATTCGACTTCTCTTCCTCATTCTCTCTGTATTCTTGTGTGCAGTACCTCCTCCATAGCCATCTGCTTCTTTCCCCCGATTCTCCTTTGCCACTGTCTTCTCAATCGCATTTTCTCCTTCACCACTTCTCTACTCAGGCAATGTATCTCATCCACCAGCTTCCTTCTCCATTGTCACATCTCGGCCAACTTCTATTTGAACACATTCATCTTCTCCAGTGCTCTCCTCAGAATTGTTATTCCCACTTAGAGTTTTAGAGTTTTGCTTTAGTTTATATTATCTTCCATGTATGAATTAGGGTTCAAATAGTGTTGACTTTTTAGGGCTAATTTTTGCATTATGTTAGCATATCTATTAGTTTCCCTTCAGCTCTCTTGGGTGTTTTTTTTCCCTTCCCTTCATGCTAGTTGGAAAGTTCAGGATATTGATTATCTAATTGTGAGTGCATATTCTAGGATAGAAGCTCCACAGTCAGCATAGAATTAAGCCTTTACAACTTCATTAGTAAAAATAAAAAATGTCGCTTACGGAGATGAAAGAATCAAATAATGACATCTTCATTCTTTTAATTTGTTTGACACGTCAATTTAAGTAGAAAATTGGTAACCAACAAAAGAAACCCATTAATGGAATCGCCAATTGGGAAATCCCATGCTAATCTTTTCATTACATTTCTTATAAGATATATAATCAATGATATTCGACCTTAAATAATTTTCTAGATGTTAATGTATAATTTTTCTATATTAACTTTAGCACAAACTTAAATCGAGAAAGTTAATATGATCAATGATCTTGGACCTCAATTAACTTCTTTTATTAAACAAGATAACATTTTTTTAAAAAGTGTATATATACACATAGTTGTATATATAAAGAATGTGTTGTTTAGTTGTTTTTTCAAATGGTTGGGACCACGTATAAGAAAAAGGAGAGAGAATCCAAATGTTTTTTTTTTCATTTTTTTCTTTGAGGGATAGGAAGTTGGATTCTATTAGGTGAAATAGTGATTAATACATAAATGAAATGCCACAATGACAATGGCTTTCTCCATGGACTTTGGGGAAACCTTGCTGTTTTCTCCACTAATATAAGCTATGTTAGCACAATGACCATGTTTTCTCTATGCTGCTTCCATCTTGCTTTTTACTTTTTATCTTGGTTTCTCTGTAAGTATACTTGTTTATGTAAAAAAAAAAAGGTTTTGAACCACCACCAAAGAGCTTGCTCTCTTGCACATATGGTCTTTCTAAGTAGGTTACTCTTTGTTGCTTTTTGAATTTCAGCTTCGTTTTTTGTTCTTCAGAATCAGCTACATTTGGATTACAGTTGCACGACATTTCGGCTTTGTTTCTGAGTGTTATGAGGCTTTTGAGATCTAAAACTGTACTTGAATTAAGATTATTATTAAAAAAGTTACCCTTTATCATCCAAAAAAAAAAAACACAGAGTCATCTTGCTTTGGCCTATTTCGCTTCAAGGCTGCAATCTGAAGTATCTAAGTTTTATAACATGGCTAGGATTATTTGTGTGCTACTGAGTGGTGATGACATGCTAAGGTCATTTTGTCTAGAGATTGTGAATTCTAGGAAATACATTATATGAGCTTGCCCCTTTCTGATAAACCAACAATATGAAACATATCTCTACTTTTGTTACTTGTTTCCAATTTATAGATGGATGTGCAAGCAGATGTCCTTGGTAATGCTAAGAGTACCAGCAAAAAAGCACTATATGACCCCACCATAAACAACTGGACACAAAAATTAAAGGGCAACGCTCCATTACTAGACAAGCGATAACCTCACGCAACAATTTAGGAAAATCATCTCCCAGAACTTTGGTCAGGAGAAAACAATCAATTGGAAGACTAATCCCTACTCCTCAAAACAAACAAGTATTTGGGAAAATCCCTTACATCATAGTCTTTAATTTACTTATTAAAGTCCCTCATGCACATGATGAGCCTCGTGCTCCCTCAAACTTCTCAACAAGACTCCTGCAAACATTCAAGTAGCTCCTAAGACACCCAAAAAGAAATACACAAATTGTAAACTAAAATACAACTCTTTCACTAAGAAAGCCCTAAATCTCAAACATATACGACAAAGACATAAGTGAATTACCAAATTATCCTGACCAACCAGAATAAGAAAACAAATCCTCAAAACTATCAATTAGTGAAGCTACCATATCATTCCATACCGCTAATCAAACCCCAAAAGCATTATACGATGTACAAAAATCTAATCCTTAACCTAGAATCCAACAAACTCCT